AACAAGGGAGAGAATGAGCAAAGGAAGGTTGTGTGAACGAAATAAACCACAGAAAAGCTCTCTAGTGTTTCTTTATCCTCGTTCCCAAACCTGCATCCAATACCATCCTCCTCCTCCTCCTCCTCCTCCTCTCCCTCCTTTCCTCCGCAAAGACCACAGAGAGAAACCTGAACCCTAAAATTAACCCCCCTGCCGCAGCGATGTTTTAGTGGCCTTGCATGGGCGAGGAAGACAACGGTCCAGCTGTCCACATACAGTCTGTGCTGGATGAACAGGTGACAATCCTCCTCCTCCTCCTCCTCCTCGTGGTAACGTCCCTACTTTCTTCCGCAAAGACCGCAGAGAGAAAACTGAACCCTAAAATTAACCCCCCTGCCGCAGTGATGTGTTAGTGGCCTTGCATGGGAGAGGAAGACAACAGTCCAGCTGTCCCACAAACAGTCTGTGCTGGATGAACAGGTGACAATTCCACAGTGCCATGGAGGGAGAAGCCACAAATATGGGTTTAAACATGACCCATCTCACCACAAAAAAACAAGGTGATAATCCTGTTACGACTGATACTCCATAACGTTCCCAGCGGCTGTGGTGGAAGTGGTTTGGCATTTCATGTTTTCATTTCGATGTGATAATTTCCAACCAAATCCACAATTAATTTTCTACCTAAACGAATTATGCAGCTGTTTTGATAAGTTTGAAGAAAACAGATTTTAAAGGAACAGTTTTCTCAAAAATAAAAATACAGTCATTAACATCATGAACCAGTATGCTATTATATTTTCAGTGGAAATTTTGTACAAATATATTGTTGAAAAGAACAAAAATTTTAGGATTGGTAACAACACTTGAAAATCAGTGGTGTTTGGCCACCAACAGCAAACAAAGTGCACTCAAATTTTTGAAGCTGAACATGAATTGACAAAATGTATATATAGATATATATATATATATATGTGTGTGTGTGTGTGTGTGTGTGTGTGTATGTGTGTGTGTATATATATATACATTTGTGTTACTCCTAAAAATTTGGTTACAACACATGAGACTCTGTGGTGTTTGGCTGCCAAAATCAAACATGGCAAATGCACCATTTTTGAGTCTGAACTAATTTGTGGGTGAACTATTTCTTTGAACTAAAAACAGTAATGTTCAAATGATAGAATCATAGGGTTTAAAATATTATATATATTTCTTACCAGTATACTGTATTTCTGACAAAATAAATGCTGTCTTAGTGGACATAAGGGACTTTTTTAATAATATATTGTGAAATATAAAATATTATACATTTTTGATACTGTGAACTGCTAGTACATATTAAAGTAACTGTATGCTTTTTAAATATATTTTAAAATGCCTTTTTTTTTTTCCTGTGATGCAAAGCTGAATTTTCAGTAGCTATTACTCCAGTCTTCAGTGTCACATGATCCTTCAGAAATCATTTTGTTTATACTTTATTTCGCTTGTCCACATTACACATTCTACTAATTATAAGTAACTTTGCAACTACATGTTAACTAACTCTCATTAGTGTATTAGTAGACTGTTAGGTAAGGGGTTAGTAGAATAAGTTGACATGTACTTGCAAAGTTACTGAAGACTGGAGTAATGGCTTCTAAAAAAACAGCTTTGCCATTACAGAAATAAATTACATTTTAATATATATTCAAATGGAAAACAGTTATTTTAAATTGTAATAGTATTTGAAAATATGACTGTTTTTACTGTATTTTTGATCAAATAAATGCAGTTTTGCTGAGCATAAGAGACTTAGGCCTATTTTCAATGAAGCAATTGAAGTCATTCACTGCTAGTTTAAAATACCATATAGTATATAAAAAATATTGAGATTCTACAGAAATTCTACTGTTGTGTCTGTTGTCATTTTGTCATTCTCTGTTCTGTCAGATGTTTTGTGTGTTTTATGCTGTCTGGCAGGTAAAGTGTTGTTGCGTAGCTGCAGTAGAGTGGACAGGAGAGAAGGGCTGGATCTGCTCCAGAGAGCTGCAGACATAAGGATTCACCTCCTGGGCCCTGAGCACCCACTGACCCGAGACCTGGAGCCGTGAGCTCCGTTTCACTACAATATTGTATTGTAATCACACAAATGCTTGCTAAATTCATTTTAATCTTATCTCTTCTGCAGTGTTTCAAACCCTGATATTTCAGGACAGAGGAAGCATGTTCTAGAGGTCATCGGGTCCACCTCAAACAATAAACTGTCACTAGGTAGGTCTACAATTGCTTTCAAGGAATCACACAGTGGGCTGCTGCTGCAACAATCATCCTCTAGGTCATGTATAACACGACTAACTACCAAACTCCCTAGAAGCTTCTCTACACAAACAGCATCGTGTTGCAGCCAGGATGAAACCCTAGAAACACCATGGACGGCTTTCCAGGTCTCCGTTTTTGGGCCACAGAGTGATTTTAGGACTCTACTGCAAACAGGAAACGCTGGTTGGTTTGACCGACGACGGTCCCTTACCAGATCAACCGGGGGTCTTTCCCAGGCAGATGCATCATGCAGGAGGAAGCTCTGAAACCATTGAACCCAGATGAGAAGACACTTTGTCACATAGTCAGAGTAGCCATGTTTTTCTATTCTATTCTACTGTACTCTATTCTTTTCTAGTACGTTTTACCTTTATGTTGCTTACTAAACTTTCTATAAAAATTTCTATAAAGCTGCTTTTTCAGTAGCTATTACTCCAGTCTTCAGTGTCACATAATACTTCATAAATCATTCTAATATGCTGATTTGATGCTCAATAAATATTTTGTATTATTACAAAATATTTACATAGTTCTAACTCCGGCACAAATGTGGCAAAATAAGGTCAAACGAGGTGACAGGAAACCTGTGCAACACCTCTGCCTTCCCACTTACATGTTCACACACACACACACATACAATTCTATGCCACTCCTTAATAACCTCCCAAACAAGCTGTATGTCATACTGAGAAAAACAGCACCTGGTGACCTCTACTCTCACACAATGAGCGAGATACAGGTCAAAACAGCCATCAGACGCTGGACAGACAGACTGGTTGAACTAGCCTTTACTCCAAAGAAGAGCTTGCGGGTCTCGTTGTCATGTTCCCAATGCTGTGACCTGCCCTGAGGGATCAACCCATACTTACATGAGTTAACTGACTCGTCCTTCGCCCCTCAGAAAATACCACCTTTTCAGTCTCTTGCACAGAATGCAGTGTCTAAGAACATAGACTGGGAAAAGCAGGAAAGTCGAGTAGATGTGCATTATGCATAGAGTGCATCATGTGACTGAATAGCATTTGGACACAAATTTCTTTCTACATATGTATGTGTTTAAATAGAAAGAGAGAGTAGTATAGGGAGACTCAAATGTAAAGAGTTAGAGATGGTTAAATAGAGTAAATAATGTTAGTATGCGACATATTGAGGCAGGATAGTTAAATAGCATGATACAGAGTAATTGTCTTTCTGTTCTTGACCTCCTGACCTTCTTTCATCCCATTCTAATGCATCCTTGCATTGGGCACCGCAGCAGTGCCTGGGAACCGACTGGTGTTAATTGATGCCTGTGAGCAGATAGGCTCTGGGTTTGGGTTGTGGAAGCAGTAGGGGTCGTGGACGTGCCAGGAGTGTGATAATGTTCTGGGCGGGTCAGCGACCTTTGTCGTTACGACATAATCCTCTCTGAAAGATCATATGTAGCCTACAGAACATGGGCATCAATAACAGAGTAAATCGTGAGCAATCGTTCACATCCGTCTCATTATGAGCTGTGTTTATTTAGCCCCTGTAAGCTTGTCTGAATGTCTTTAGCAAAGCGTGGACAGCTAGTGAAAGAAAGGCAAAGTTTCAAGGTCAGGTGATGTGATTGGTACAAATGTGTTCAGTTCTTAACTTAAACATTTATGTTTATCTTCAGTTTAATCTTAATATCACTGCTTACTTTTGTGACCGAACTTTAGTGTGTTTGAAAGTTTCAAAAATATATATATGATGTTCCATAATGCTGTGTGTGGTTTGGTTAGTGGAAAGAATAAAAATGGCATCTGACAGACCAGCTGGAATGACTAAATAAAATAAATATATTTTTTTATTAATAATTTTAAATGTATGACTCCATCTATACCCAGAAATAAGCATTGTAGTGATTAATAAATATATTTTCTTAGCTATCTCTAAAACTCATCTGACTGGATAGAGGTAGTTGCCTTCGGTTTCTGACAATGCTGTCTGTCAAAACTCGTTAAAGAAGTATGTAAAACGTCATTATATGTACAATATTTGTATGTTATCAATTTAAACATTAAATGACAAAGTACAAGTGAAAATAAATATTATAAATATAATAATTTATTGTTTAATCTACTTTTTATTGGATATTATGTGCAAGCAACGAGCAATTTCCGACCCTGTAGTTGTGCTTTTTTTTATAGAAAATGGTGTCGTTGATTATCCAGTGAGTAAAACATAACTGGCAAGAAATCGGCATTAATGTGTTCATTGGCTTGACAATCCACAACTGAGAAGTAGAACTAAAACTGAGGTAATGGCATCGCATTGCCATCTAGTGGTGAATGTGTTATTTTTCACACACACACACACACAGCTATATATAACAGATGTTGATTTTTGTTGAATTTAAATTCCCCAGTGTATAAATGTCAGAATATATATATTTTAAAGGACGTTAGAGATTCAACAACACCTACATTATCTTTTCTTTTCTTTTCTTTTGTCCCAAAACATCCATCAATGACTTGCTGTTTTGGTATCGAAGCGTTCGTTTGCTAATAACAGACAATTAACTTATCTAAATATTAGCAGTAAGACTAATTTAGATCGGTTAGCAGTCCAGGTAGCCAGCTAGTCGGACATTATCAGACACGTGTCAAGTTTCTACGCCTCCCAGGGGCACTGGGGCAGTAAACTTGAGAGGGTGGGAATAGGGTGGGATGTGCTGCTGCTCCAAACTTTTCTAAAGCTCAAAAGCTTCAGCACAGGCTGTAACAGTACTACCACATCTGATCCTCCCTACTGATCTGTAGAGATGTCTGAGTTAGGCTCCTTTGACAATCCGGTTAAGTTCAAAGATCAAGACTATGACGTCCTGCTGCAGAAGTGCCTCAAATCTGCAGTTCTGTTCTCAGACGCGGTGTTCGCCGCGAACCAGAGCTCCCTCGGTATTCCTGTGGATCCTGATCCTAAAAAGGCAGTGAAGTGGCTGCGCCCGAAGGTAACTTGTGTTGTGATTTTCTTGTAACTTGTATTGTGCTTTTCAACCACTTTTTTAAAGTCTTTTTTTATTATTATTTAATTACAGTTGAAGAATATCAGAAAAAACGCTGTTTAGATATTCTTCAAAATATCGTCTTTTGTGTTCCACAGAAGAAAAAAAGTCATACAGGTTTGAAATGACATGAGGGCCAGTAAATGATTTTTCATTTTAGGGTGGATTATCACTTTAAGACAGGCAGACCTTGTACCTGTATATTTCTTGTACACATGCATGTGTTTTCAGATGTCCTCATCAGCCCATCCCATGTACTTGCAAATTGTTTTTGGCTCACACCCATCTTCCTTCCCCACCTCTCCCTCTCTTCAGGAAATCACAAGTAATGCTGTCTTTGTTGAGGGCACCATGGGCACCACCGATATCTGCCAGGGCCAGCTGGGTGAGTGTACGCTCGTGTTAGCGCACGGTTGTTCATATTTTATGCCAGGATAATGGGATAACGCCTTACTGCACTTCTCAGAATCCAAATCACCCGAAAGCACCCTCAAGGCATGAGCGCTATCAGTAAAATAACCGTCTTTGGCAACGCTCCCACTCTTCCTCTCCTTATCATGCAGATGCCCTTCCCCCCATCTTCTTCCTCCCAGATCTTCCTCATCATGCTTAATGTACTACTATCCCCATTCTGCCCCTGTAGCCACGAGACACTGCGCTGATCTCAGAGCCTCCTGCAGAGTCCCTGCTGAGAGATGCAACATGGAGCCGCCGCAGGCCACTCACATCAAAAACACGACAAATGTACTAGAAACAGGGAGGGATGAAAGCAGAGAGAAGAAAGAGGGAGCGAGAGGTTGGATTGGCATCATCTGTACACCCCTCCCTCTCCCGCCCCCCATTACCACCCACCTAAAGAATAACAATTATTGTGCACAGCGGGTATTGTTTTATTGTTTTGCCTTCGCTCCCTCTCTACATATGGCGTTGATTTGGTGTTGATGGAAAGTGTTTTTGTTGATATGTCAGTGTTGGCGAGATATTCAACATTTACATGCTCAGCTGTATTCTATAGTTTGGCGTTTCCCAACCTTTTTTGTCTTATGTACCCCCAAAGTCTCATGAGAAAGGGTCAAGTACCCCTTTATCAACACCAGACCAGAAATCTGTGCCTTTTCAACTCATATCAACAAGGTATACAGTATACCAAGTGAAATCATAATTTACATTAATAAGTCAATATGATGTGAAAGTCTTTGTTACAGAAATAAATTTAAATCCGTTAAAAAAATATATTGCTTAATGAGTTTAGTGTTTTATTTACCATGCATTTTGATGCATGTGCCATAGCAAAACCAGTACCCTTCAGAATCTAAATAACCCCTAAAAGGTGCAGTATGATAAAAAAATAAAAAAAAATTCATGACTATTATCAAATACCTCAAAAACATTAAGATAATACAGTTACTTAAAAAAAAATATTGCTTTCATTTTCAGTTTATTAATTTACAGTTTGTATTTCCCAAGTAAGTAAGTAAGTAAAATAAATGCACATTTACATATTTGGCAGATGCTTTTATCAAAAGCATATTACATTGCAAAATTGATTTTCTTAGAAATTAGGCCAACTCACCTTTGTAAATAAAAAAAATGGCTTATATTACTGTTAAGATGCCATTACCTCCAAAATACCGATACACTCTGTGATGCCAATAATCGGAAATTACCTTTAAATGCTGCACCGTCCTCTTAATCTGCACAAAAACGCTTTAATTTTTTAAAAATTTTATTGCTGTATATATTTCGAAGGCTGCACCCTCCAGAGGTCACATTTGTTTGGAAGCATACTGTATGTCAAAAGTGAAACACAAAACACACAGAGAAAACAGGGAACACTGAAACACACACACACACACACACACACACACACATGTTCTTCGTCACACAGAACCCTGCATGTTTGTTCACATAAAGCATCAAAACAGTAATTTACCATAACTTCTCATTCCAGCAAACTGCCAGAATGGATTTACCAGTATTTCTCAAAAGGTCCTGTTCACACATGATCCTTAAATGGTAATTTATCGTTAATTTTCTGGAAAGGGCTGACTCCCTTTTTGTATCCCCCAAGGATACAATACCATTTAAGGGGTATCCCTAGACACTTGAGTTGAAATACCAAACAATACCGTTGTCACGAGCAACATCTGGCTATCATTTATTGCGAAATCCAACATTTCTGACTTTTCTGAGTTTTCTTGTGTTGGTGAAACACATATGCAAAGAACTTTGGGCCTCTTGCATCAAAGCAGGCAGATGCTTTGCTTAAATATATATAATTACATACTGGTAAAAAAATTTATAGCCTGAATGCACTGTAAGTCGCTTTGGATAAAAGCATCTGCTAAATGCATTATTATTATTTTTTTTTTTCTTAATTTAAATCATGAAGTGTGCATTTGCCACTTAGGATTTGGATGGCCTCTCTAAATAATATATGAGCATCACAATGCATCACTAGAATAACAAACGCATGTAAATAATCTAATTTGAATTGAAATCTACTCAAATAATGCCTTATTCTTTGCACTTCAAGCAGAAATTTTAATTATTTGTTTTCAAGTGACTTTCCACATTAACGTATCCAGCCCTTTTTCTTGCGGTCTGAAGATTAATTGGACGTACTCCATTGTAGAGCTCTGTTTGGTGTCATTCCTATGGGAGCTGCCGTGTTAAGTATGTTTTTTACGAAGTGTTGTCACGCCGAATCCATTTCTGTTTTCCCCACACGGGGCAAACGGACAGCTGTTACCTGTTACAGAGGAATGTCACTGTACGTGAGACAGACTGCGTGTCTCCTGCTTCTTCAAAGCCTGAATTTCCACTTTGTGTTTGAGGCTGTGGTCATATGTCAAGAACATTGATGGAATTGATATGTTGTTTAACAGAGCCTGTTGTCGTGTCCTGCTGCAGGTAACTGCTGGCTGCTGGCGGCACTGTCCTGTCTCACCATGCACCCGACTCTGTTTGTGAAAGTGGTTCCATCTGGACAAAGCCTGAGTGAATCCTACGCTGGCATCTTTCGTTTTAGGGTAAGGGGGAACAGGAAACCTAGATTAAAAACAGCAATTATGAGCCACTTCTGAATTTATGGGCTTATTCTTTAGAAATAATAAAATATGTCATTTTTTCATCCACAATTGCTGTTTAATCAAATTAAACTGAGATTAGTAAATAAAATGTGTATAGGGAAAGCATGAAAGAACCCATCAATTTTACATAAAGGGGTCCGTTTTTATAGTCCAAGTGGGGGTCTGTGAGCGAGTCGAATCCGTCCAGAGTTTATATCCTCGTTTGAATGTCTTCTGTGTAATTATGCGTCTGGATTTACTTCTAGCTGGCGATGTAGCACGTCGAAGGGAATGGTAATTAGAATCAGTCGTCTTTGACCTTACCATCCCTAACAGCTGAGGCTCATTCCAGAAACAGCTCCTGTCATCTTCCTTTTGTCCCTATGACATGTACATCTGCAGGCCCCTCCCCCTTTAAACATGCACCACCTTGGCAGAAGTTATCATAATTCAGTTGTCTGTTTTTCATTCACAGAGAAGGAACATTGCGTTTCTGTTTGTTCCCGTGTTGTATATTTGTTGCAGACCCCTTCAAAATCAGCTTTTACCCTCTAGGTACTATTCACTTGGTCCACTAATGATCTGATTAGAACCATGCTGGTCAATTAAATCCAAAGTTTGGAATGACCACACCTCTTAAAACGATCCTGGATTTGCAAACTCTCATGTTTCAGTGCTTGCCTACACATTTTCCACAATTACTGATAAGAAAAAAAACACAGAAAGACCAGAATAGTCTTTATTTTGTCCACCCCTCAGGAATCCTGTCAGCCTTGTTATTTAGCAGGAACCTCCAGAGAGATACACTTAAAAAAGAAAGCTGTGTTTATAGCCTGAAAAAAAGAGGCCCACTGTGAGGCTCAAGACAACATGGAAGTGAACTGATTTACTGAAAGAAGTGAAGGTGGGGGTAGTTTGTTCATCTAATCCTGGGGGGGACAATTTGTGACGAAAAAGACAATTTGTGTTCATAAAATGAGGGGCATTACTGAATGAGCTATCCTTTTAAATAAGTTCCCTTTTCCGCTAAATACAGCAGCAGAGAATGGGGTAAGATATGCCATGTTCACCCAAAGATTCTTTTATTATTTACATTCCCTCATGTTGTTCCAAACCTATATGACATTTATGACTATTTTGCGAAACAGGAACGAAAATGTTTTGATAAATATTGATAAATAAATACTGACTAAAAAATTATAGACCAAAAAAAATCAATCTTTTTGGGTGAAATTTCACTTTAGGTTATCCTCAAGACAGAGAGAAATGAGAGAGAGAGAGAGAGATAGAGAGAAGGAAGGAAGGAATAAATGAAGGAAGGAAAGAAAGAAAAATGCACATAATTATATTGCTGAAAAAAATGAGAGGAAAAAAATATTTCTTAATGCATAGTCCTATCACAAATTGTTATTTTTGCATTATTTGCATATGAAAACTTCAAATTAAACTTTTTTGAAAGTGAAATGTGAAATCTCAAAATACATAATACTTTTTTTGCAATAGTAATAGTATGAATATCTTATGTGCATATTTTTTGCTTTTGGGGTGGAGTGCAAGGTTTACTGTAATTATGAGTACTGACACAGTTTACCCCGAAGTATCTGATACACTTTACTTCACTGCTACCATTTTAGGAAAAATGCTTCATTTGATAATTCTTTAGGCTAAAATTAAGTTTTTATAGGATTTTTTTAGATTATAAAAAAACAAGTATGATATGATATATTTTCAGACTAAGATACGTTTACTGACTAAATTAACTTGTAGAAAATAAAACAAAATTAAAACAAAACAAAACAAAAAGCAATTAAAGCTGTTCACTTTCTCATACGCATCTCTCAAGCTGTTGTATATAATGAGCCCTTTCTAAATATATGGTATATATGATAAATAAACTATCTATTCATCAGGGTTTATTTTTCTGAAGCACAAAGTGATGAATGAACCACTGCGGGTGTAATTATTACTCCAATTCTATTTGTTTCAGAGAGTTCACCTTGACAAAGCGTGCACTAAAGCAAGCCACTACAGCTCTCGTGGCTTGTGTGATGTTGTGTGCGTGGTTGTACACTGAGGATAGGTTGTGTGATAACAGCACAGTTGATTAAACAATCAAAACATATTAGCACTGAAGAGCTCTTATGGAAGGTTGCTCAGCGTTATGTAATAGTTATGCCATTCTCATCATATAATTTCCTTCTGCCTGCCATAGTATTACATTCGGAGGCTAAACAGATGTGCAACATGACTTGACCTGATCAAGGAGGGTTAGAGAGGACAGGAAAGAAAGAAGACACATCAAAAACTGAGTGACAGGAGAGAAATGAGAAAACAAGGAGGTAGAGGACTGTTGATTGGTGGACGATTCCTGAAATGTCTAGACTTGTTACTGTAGCCCAAGGACATGGACACAGACACATGGTGCTACCTGCAGGCCAACAGGTCCATACCTGCCTGTCTAATATCACATAAAGTCTTTCAAATTCATTCATATAGTTTTTATTACTTTAATAATATTTATGTAAGTGTTTTACACCAAAACAGTCATAATTTAGATTTCCATGACTATTTTTCACCGTTTTTGCTGCTGTGCCTGTATGACTCTTAGGTAAATTAAAGTGCACTATACCTTTTGAAAGAAATTAATACATTTATTCAGCAAGCATGCAGTAATTTGATTAAAAAAGTGGACATTTCTAATGTTACAAAAGATTTCTATTTCAAATAAATGCTGTTCTTTTGAACTTTCTATTCATCAAACAATCCTAAAAAAAATGGTATATATCATAGTTCCCACAAAAGTATTAAGCAGCACAACTGTTTTTAGCAATGATAATAAAAAGAAATGTTTTTTGAGCACCAAATCAGCATATTAAAATGATTTCTGAAGAATCATGTGACACTGAAGACTGGAGTAATTGCTGCTGCAAATTCAGTATGCCATCAAAAGAATAAATTATATATTTAAATATATTGAATTATAAAACAATTAATTTGAATGTTAATATTTTCTGCATATTTTTGATCTACGTAATACAGCTTTGGTGAGCATAAGAGATATTTATTTAAAAATAATAATAATAATAATATTACAAAAAAAAAAATCTTACCAAACCCAATTTTTTTCCCTCAAATTTTTTTTTTTTTAATATATTTTCATACAATGTACATCAAGTACATTGACCCCTTTAAAACAGAGGAAATATACTGGTCAAAATGTTGCAAAACCGAGATACAGAACAGTAAAACAGTCCACTTTTTTGGGTACATCAACACCCAAATATGCTTGAACAGAACAAATGTAACCCTGTTCTCTCTCTCTCTCTCTCTCTCTCTCTCTCTGTGTGTGTGTGTATGCCAAGTCAGTTCCAGCATATGTGTCCTTGACTGTGTGGGCGTGTGACTGTTCATTAGTGACACCGCTCACGTGAAGGCCATTGTTCCTTTGTGTTATTTAAGGACTGATATTTTTGGAAAAAACATCCAGTTGTGAAAAATGATCAAATGCAATTTACAGATGTAGAATAATTCATGTGGAATCAATCCAATCAATAGAAGCCCATTAGTAGTTCAAGTTCAAGTTCAGTTTTATTTCTAGAGCACATTTAAGCACGAAACAAGGCCGGCCAAAGTGCTGCACAACATACAATAATATATAACAAGGAGAAAATCAGTAAACAAATAGAAACAATTCAAAATCCATACAACAACAAAAGCAGATTAAAACAATTCAAAGGCACATATTACGCATGGATAGCAACCTCTAGAGAGCTTTTTGAGAGAAATTAGTAATTTAGTAATATTTGTGTGTGTGTGTGTGTGTGTCTGTCTGTTCTTAAAGGCTGATTGGTTCTTATGGCAGTCTGAAGGGGGGAATTATCTCAGAAGGAATGGAGGATTTTACGGGGGGAATTGCCTACTCCCTCCACGTGTCTTCTCGGCCCCCACGCATGCTCTGGAGAGCCATCACTGCTTCCCTGGCCAGGAGCAGTCTGCTCAGCTGCTTCATACAAGTATAGACTCATATTCACACAGGCACAGTGACACACACACACACACATACACTACCGTTTAAATGTTGGGTCAGTAAGATTTTCTCTTTTATTTTTAAAGAAATTAATACTTTAATTCAGCAAGGATGCATTAAGTTAATCAAAAGTGACATTAAAGACATTTATTATATGACAAAACATTCCTATTTTACATAAATGTTGTTTTCTGAACTTTCTATCCATCACTGTTTCCACTGAACTGTTATCAACATTGAAAATAATAATAACCAGCATATTTGAATGATTTCTAAAGTATCATGGGATACTGAAGTCTGGAGTAATGGCTTATGAAAATTCGGAATTAAATTATGCTTTAAAATTTATTATAACAGAAAACAGTTATGTTAAATTGTCATAATATTTCACAAAATAACTGTTTCTACTGTATTTTTGATCAAATAAATGTGGCCTTGGTGAGCATAAAAGATGCATACAATATAAAATATGCATGACTGTATACATATTAAACACACATATGTTGTGTTTTGTGTGCAGGCTGCGAGTGTGAAGGAGATTGGCACTGTGACATCTGAGGGTCTTATCAAAGGTCATGCCTATGCCATCACTGATACAGATAAGGTATGAATATAATACACATGATTCATGATTTCAAGAACATAAACACTGGAGAAATCTCACAACGAAAAATAATAAAGAATCATTTGGGGGGGGGGGTTTTACTTTATCTTAGAGTGTTCTTTAATATGTGGCCCTGGAGCACAAAACCAATCTTAAGTCGCTGGGGTATATTTGTAGCAATAGCCAAAAATACATTGTATGGGTCAAAATTATTGATTTTTCTTTTATGCCCAAAATCATTAGGATATTAAGTAAAGATCATGTTCCATGAAGATATTTTGTAA